AGAGAGAGAGAGAGAGAGAGAGAGAGAGAGAGAGAGAGAGAGAGAGAGAGAGAGACGGACTAAGCAAATCCGACTAAAACAACTGACGTACGTTAATGAGTGGACCCAGTCGTTGAGCAGTGAAACTGCCACTTCAAGATCTCGAAGGGAGTGCGGTGATCCTGACAGGAGAGTTGAAATTGAGGACCTGAGGTTGTCCTCTCTACTGTGTTCTGCATTCCTATACCCACCAACTGCCATAGCTTAGTTGGTACGCCCCCTTAACTGTTGAAATACATACCTGAGATCGGACTCCAGTTGAAGCAGGTGAGCAAAATACTACATTCACATATCCTGCTCCTGCTCAACACAGATGACAAGAACATGTTCGCATGTGGGAAACCATGCGTATACATACTTATGGAGCAGGTATGAAAACATCCTCATGGATGCTTTCCATCCATAGGTGACGACATCCTTATGGATGTTTTAGCACCTGTGTGAAAACACCCTTATATATGCCTGCCATCCTGACCGCTTCCACTCTGTACAGAAAACCGACAACACCAAACTTTTACGGTCAAACGCCGATTTCCTGGTGAGTGGCGAAATAAAACCATTTATGCGTCCTTTCGTGCCTCATCTCTTCTGGAAAATCCACAGGCTGTAAAGCTAAGGCTCAGCAGGCGAATGCACCGACAGATCGGTGGATACATGGTCTGCATTTGGGTGTGGATTGTGCTATTTCCAGTCCACCACTCCGTGGACACCGCATCCTAAACCCTTTTCTGGTTCTCTCTCTCTCTCTCTCTCTCTCTCTCTCTCTCTCTCTCTCTCTCTCTCTCTCTCTCTCTCTGTGTCTCTCTGTCTGTCTCTCTCTCAGCCCCCCCCACCCTCCCCCATCCCACATGTGCCACTCCTTGCCCCTGTGTAGATTCATATGTGTAGGTGAATGTCATTCTCTGTTTTTGCTACACATGAGCTTTGCCTGGAGGGTCACTCATGCTCTTTATTACCAATCTCCAGACACAATCCATACACACAACACGCAGAATAGGGAAAAAAAAAAGAACACAAGATGCATACAGAAGGCATGAATACCAGTCGACGCAGCGGGCAAATGACGAAACAAACTGACAGAAGGACTGGATACTCAAGAATAGGTGGTGGTGGTGGTCCCCACCAAATAAACATCAAACGGATATGATGCAGTTATGAATGCATGTGAGCTGAGGGGGAGCCAACTAATTACTTACACGGAAAACCCAAAAAAAAAAACCGTGCTCAGCAGAAACCTTCTCGTCTCGTCCGTTTCCCAGTGAGCGCACCTTCCCGTGTGCAGCTGGTGGGGTGATCTGCATGGCCTCGATGAATCATTACATCTTGGCCAACCGTCATACACAAGATTGTTACGGCATTGCCAATGGACTTTACATGGCTTTGGGCTCTTGATGACAGTTGGTCCGCGTTCTGGCATCTACAACGAACATCATTTTCAAGCGGAAGAGGAGATTTCCTCTGTCTCTCGAATCCTCTCATCACCTCCTTCCTCCGAGGATGACAAGTCTCTTTCCATCAACGGCAGCCCCTCAACCGGCGCCCATTTTCGTCCTGGAGCAGCAATAGCAGCAGCAGCATTGTTCGCCAAATTCTGAGAGTAGGAATTGGTGATCGCTTGCTGACAGGTGAACTTACCGGTACCCATTCTCACGGTGGAGTTAGTGTTGCACCCTGCCGAGCCCATCGGCGATGGCGTACAACCGTCGTCTCGTTCTCCGGCAGCCAACCTTGATCCAGCCGGGGTTGGAGGCAGCCCACCCGGAACAGCCCCTGGTTTTGTGCTCCGTCTCAAGATGTTCGGAGGAGTTCCCGTGCTGGGCAAGAACTGGGGGGCTAGCATGGATGACGATGGAGGCAAACAACCAGACGATGCCAGGAGTGTGCTCTGCGCATCCGATGAGGGGCCCATACAGAAAGGAGCAGCGAAAGACAAAGAGGGTGGGGTTGGTGGCAATGGGGACGAGATTGGCGTTAATAGAGAACTTGAAAGCTGTGGAAGAGCAGGGGGCAGATTGTTGTGGGGCATAACAGAGGGAAGATGTAGTTGCAAGGAAGAGTCGGATGGTGATGCCAGAACACTTGCCGGGGATGGTGGAGGAGGAGGGAGAAGGTGTGGTGGCTGTGATGACGACGGAGGAGATGGCAGCGGGGGCAGGATGGGTAGGTGAGGAGGAGGGTGTGAAAGCAAGCGGCCTATCGGGGAGACGTGCGATCCACTTGGAGAAGAATAATAGTTGATTTGAGGTGTTGTGAATGATGGGGGAGGCCATTGACTCCCAGAGCTGGGGATACTCCCTGCCAGGGGACTTGAGACCGCCGGCATTTGTGGACGGAAAGACGACGAGGATGCTGACAGCGACTGGGATGCTGGATTCGACCAGGATGCTAAAGTATTAGGAGTGACGAGCTGCGGTTGTGTTGCCATCCAAGCGGAGGACTGGCCACCGGAGATGGGAGGTGCAAGTGGCCCGGCTTGGCATAGAGATGAAGTTGTGGACTGCCAAGGAGGCGGCAGTCCCGTATGCGGCGTATGTCTGTTGGCTGATGATGGGAACAAACCAGGGAAGAGGGTCGTCAGCGAAGTAGTTTGTCTTCCGCTGAGATTTGTGCGGCGGGTAGGAGACATCGGCGTTGCCGCACTCGACGAGTGTGAAAGCCATGATGACGACGATATCGGCACTTGGAACGCCCATACGGTGGTGCTACTGCTGCTATGCTCTTCCCTCAAGTCGTCAGCAACATCCTGTGGTTCCTGACTCGGCATCACTGGACCAGGATATCGTACCCTCGCATCCGAAAACGTTGGTGCGGGTATGGGAGGTTCTCCTCCCTCCTCTGCTGCCGGCTGATTCTTCTCTAGCATACAAAATGGTGGATCTGCCACATGGGGAATACTGCTTTCCCTCCTTGACGAATTACCGATCTCATCCCATGCATTTTTGCAGAAGCTATCACTGAGGGCGGGAATTGTTGTCAACGGTGGAGGCTCACTAGCGCACGTGAAAGCGACAGATGACGATGGCACCACCTCTGACTCTGAGTCGTCCTCTTCCACGAAAGGCGCAACATCCTCCTCCTCCTCCGAGACCAAGTGCTGTTGAGAGGCCCCATCACCACCGGTGACAGGCCACTGAGGCAAAACATCCTCGTCCTCGGAGAGCAATACCCGCTGACGGGTGGTACCATCGCCAGCAGTGACGGGCCACTGGTAACCGGCTAGTTGATCTGGGTCTTCCGCATCGTCCGCTTCTTCTGCTTCTTCTGATAGCTGTATGCCCTGGTCACTGTGCAACACAACAGCGCATGCTTCTTCATCACCATGCAATAATGCACATCCTTCATGTTCAGTGATTGCCTTTCCGAAGCCAAAAATATCAAAAGTGTCCGCTTCTTGAGCTGTTCCACCGCCGACATTCAAATCTTCATCATGTTGTAAAGGGTGTTGGGATCTGTTTGAGCTGCTGCTGCTGCTGCTGCTGCTGGCATCCTCCTCAAATGGGATTTCCACTTGACATTCGCAGGATGAGAGCAGTTTCCGATCACCAGAACAATGTTCTTCTTCTTCTTCTTCGTCGTCGTCTTCCACCTCCTCCTCCTCGTCTTCTTCCTCCTCGTCCTCCTCCTCCCCGCCCCCCTGCTCCTCCTCTTCCACCTCTTCGTCACGTTCATCTTCGTCTGCATCTTCATGCAGTGGGATTTGCTGTTGCACTTGCATTGTTCCCGCCTCCACAACTTCAAATCGTATATCCTCCTGAAATTCTTGCGACTCGTCACAACCAAGCCCCAACTCTGATAACCCAGCCTGCACAAGCTGAGTTTCTTCTCTGAGCTCCTGATCAAGCTTCTGCAGCGCTGACAATCCATCCTCCTCTGGTCGCGAAATGCCAGCCATACCAAACGGTTCCTGCGCATGGAGCTGCGCTGACATGGGACACGGTTGCCTCAAGAGCTGCTCATTTGCATCTGAAGATGACATTGTGGGGAGATCCGTGCAAGGAGCACTGTCGCTGTCTTCGTCTGCCAGATGCTCGTTCCTGCAAATGCCAGAGTCCTCATGTTCGCTTCCGTCAAATGCGATACGTAAATCAACCTCTCCTTCCAGATCCAATTGACCTGCGTCTTCTGGCCCTATCTCCACCTCGTGATGAGCATCCTCCCCATCCTCCCCATCCTCCCCATCCTCCCCATCCTCCCTGAGAGTACCTAGAGACGGCATGTCCTCGAGATTCTGATCACAGCACATATGCGTTTCTGGGGAAACCCTGCCAATCCTGTCGCCCTCCTCCTCCTCACTATCCAGTTGCTCCAGAATCACTAACCCAGGCCTCAGTGCATCACCCAGCCTCTCCTCCACATCATCCTCTTCCTCATCGCCCATATCATCATGACCACCATGACCACCTTCCCCGCTGTTGCCCCCCTCCTCATTTCTTTCGCCATCATCTCCGTCCCTGCCCTCTCCTATACCACCACTGCCACCGCCCTCCACATCATCCGTCTCCTCGTCAACACCCACGTCCTCATCCCCCTCGTCCCCCTCACTGTCGTTTCCATGATTGTGGTCATCTTCATCCTCGAGTGCATCTGCAAGGGGGCGTACGTCCTGCTGGCGCACATATTCGGGCACATCTCCCATGGGAGGCGAGTTGTCGGGGAATATTATGAAATCGGGAAAAGGAAGCATGTACGCTGCAGGAGATTCTTCTCCCCACCCTGGGTAACTCCAAAACGGCAGTTGGCCGCCGACGATGCCTCGTTGGCCGTGTTCGGGAATGTCCACCAACATGGCATTCACTTGCATAGCTGGCTCTTCCTCCATGCTGGGCACGACCTCGGTGTCTATCTCAGCGTGCAGATCTGCAGGATCATCCACACCAAAATGTCGCGAACCAACAAAGCCCTCATGCACCCTACCATCTCCAACACCACCTTCTCCATCTCCCCCTCCACCTCCAGCTCTTCCTGGCAATGTTGACGGGTGGTGATGATAAGGGTCATGGTCATCAGGATCCTGTTGATGCCGATGCTGGACCTCAAGGAGAGGTCCATTGACAACCATGGGCTTACCCGCCAAAAGAGCAGACGAGCAGGACAGCGCATACGGGTACCCCAAGGAGTCGAAACGCTCACGGGTGGCGAAGAAGTCGATGCATCGATCAAGATCTTGCAAAAGGGACGCCAGAGACTGGCTCACACACCCTCCACCCGCCAAGTGTTCTTCACCGACCTTCCTACGGAATTCCTGAAGCATGCGTTGAACACTAGTCGGGTCTCTTTCTCTGCCACGCTTGGCAACCTTCGGCAGCATTACTGCCACCTTCATGCAAACTACATGCTCTTCCACTTCCCTCTCCCTCCTTGCCTCATCCGGTGTCACCTGTAACAAGCGCCTTATGGACAGGGCTTGCGACGGAGCCATGCGCTGCACACCTGGGAGGATGCCATCACGGTATTCGCAAGCCACATGCGCAACGGTGGACTCCGGGTCATTCTGCGAGTATGGCACGCGTGGAAGCCGTAATTCAAGAAGCACATGTTTCTTTTCACCCCTGCTCAGGCTTCCTAGGTATACAGAGCCATGCCACCCATCCAGAGCAATCTCGTGTCGACTATTCCCAGCATGGATCTCCATGATCCGATGGCCTATATGCAGCTGCATCTTCAGCCAGGCATTGTAGACGACAACCTGCAGGATCCCCTTGACCAACGCTTGCAGGACCTCACCGACATGACGAGTGTCGAGAGGTGAGGCATACACGCCACCCGTCCTCTCCGCTAGCATGTGAAGGAGGAAGTGGTCTTGGTTCTGCCCCAGCCCAATGGCATACACTGGCGTCGAATCTGAAACGCGCAGGTTCAACTCCTCCCTGTCGAGCAAGCATCGAAGTTCCTCTCCATGCGCTCTCTGTGAGAGCACAGAAGCACCTGCACCATCAGAGATCACCACCATCGCGCTGACAGGGTTGGCATTATCACGGGTTCGCATGGATTCCACCCCCTTTTTGACAAGCCTCATGATTTCCGTTGTGCCGTGGATCTCCAGCGAATCGATCACCTCCATAACACTATGCACAGACTGTTCGCTCATATAGATGAACGGCTGGATGGTGCGTGGCTGGCCAGCATTGCTCGAGCCGACTAGCGAGAGGCGATCCTGAGGTCCCATCTGGTGGACCACCATCATCAACGCACGCTTCACAGCTCCAAAAATGCGCTGAGACCGTGAGCGGCCGAGGTGCAGGCAGATGAGAAGATCCACAGGGAGACGTGGAGCATCACACGTTGCCGCACAGGCACTGCTGTTGCGATGATGGGAGGAGGAGGGGCAGGGCAGGGAGGCGCCCACAGTGATCAGAACGCGGAACTTCTCGGGGGGGTCATTACACGCTACCGCATGGACAGCAGGCTTCAGGGACAGAGTGACAGGCTGGCATGCACGTATCTCGTCGTCACCCCCACCCTCACCCTCGACTCCCCCCAAGAAGATGCCCTCATTCATAGTCGACACAGACAGCTGCTGTTGAAGCTCAATTGCGGCTACAGCAGCTGCATCATGGGAATACATCGGAGACTCCGCTACGTGGCGATCGGCCCGCCCCTGTCCTTGCATCGCCCCCATATTATCCTCTTCATAGTAGTCATCGTCATCCTCCTCTTCGTCTTCCTCCTCTTGCTGATGATGACGGCGATTCTGATGACCGCGACCATGAAGGTGCTGATCGCTCTCCACATTCATCTCCGCTTCTCCTGGGTCGATCACTTGCGACTGCTCAAACAAGGGATTTTCAATCAACGAGTGTGTGTCCAACGGCTGGTAATAGAAGTACTCGCCCGGAGTCGAGCCTGGTACCAGTTGATCTGGTGCCAGCTGCGGCGGGGTGTCCTGATTGAAGAACAGATGGAACACAATGTTTGGTGGTCCCGACCCTTCCATCCGAATGACCTGAAGCTGCAGCGGAACCTTGTCCCATCGAGCACGGCAGTACGGGCACACATGGGTTCCAAATTTGACCGCACATGAGAGACAGTCAAAATGGAAGACATGTCCACACCCGGCTGTATAAATTGCCCTCCCTTTTCCCTTCTCCAATGGATCCAAGCATATCGCACAGGTCGGACAATTCTGTTCACCACAGTGGACGCCATCACCGACACGACAAACAAGTAACAACAAGAAAGACGCACAGCATATCATGCTTATTATTATCTTTTTCGGAAAAGACACAACGTATATTATGCCCAGTCAGCCATTTATTCATAATTTCATACCTAGTAGTATGATATATTATTACAGAAACTGATTTGTTTTGTTCCTTTTCTTGATGTATCTCCTTCGGGCAATTACACTAACCACAACGACATGGACACGACAGTGGATGCCGTCACCACCATGGGAAAAAAACTTCAAAAAGTACCAACAAGAAAGACGCAGAGCATATTCGTATTAAGAAATTTTCAATTTCTTGGGAAAAAGGCAGTGTATATTATGTCCACACCTAGCTTTCCCCGGGCGTTCCGCCCTGCGCGGGGTTGCAAACGTTCACCTTCCACTCAAAAACTTTGAAAAAGGGGGTGGGGGTGTTAGTGGCAGGGCTGGGGGTGTTAGTGGCGGGGTTTAAGCAAATGTGGGCTTCACCAGACATTGACAGATACGTACCTGGCTTTCTGCAAAAGTTGACCTTTTTTTTTTTTTTTTTTTTTTTTTTTTGGCGTTTAGACCTTCTGCTCAAAAACTTTGAAAAGGGGGGTGGGGGCGTTAGTGGCAGGGCAGGGACGGTACTTCCCACCCAAAAACTTTGAAAAGAGCGGCCTATCTGGGCTGCCGATCTCTCAAGATCAGCAGTCCAGATAGGCCGCCCTTTTCAAGCCTTTTTGACAGGCGTACCAGACCCGGTCTGATTTCTTTTTGGGCCAGGAGACCTCCACGGCCTGTGTGGAGGCCTCCTGGCCCAGAAAGAACCCAGTAAGACCCCCCAGATTGGATGCGCTACGGCCCCTTGGTGCTTGTCACTGCTGATGGTCCTGACTGCTGGTCACACTGAGGTAGGATAGCAGGGATAGAGGTTACGCTGGGAGTATTAACGTGGGGAAAAGTAGGGAAGGTGGCCTATCCTGTCAGGACAACCACCGGCTGCCACTGCCAGCGATCACCGTGGGTCTAGTCCTTGGCCTCTACAACACCCTGGGTCTAGTACTTGGCCTCTACAGATTGGATGCCCTACGGCCAACCGGAGGAGAGACCGGCCGGTAGGACCGGTCCAGTTCCGGTTGGGGGAGGGGCCCCCAGTCCTCCCGGGTTTACAGCTCTGGATTTCATTGATTTGTGAGTGTTTTGGCTCGCGCGCTGCATTCCATTTTTCAAGTCTATTTTTGGCTGTTCTTCGTTTTTTTTTTTTTTTTTGGGAACTGCTGTTGATCTTTCACTCTCCCCTTGAAGGATTTGACCTCTGTGGCGAGGTCGCACTAGCAAAGGGGATTGAATTCAACGCCTGAACCTGGACGTGTTCGTGGAGAGGTGCGGAAAACCGCAACTGATCTGGTTTTCTGCATCTCCACAAAAAAACACGTCAAGATTCACCTGGTTGATCAAATCCTCTTTGCTAGTGGGACCTCACCCCTGCTGTTCCAAATGCCTGGTTTCTGCTCCACACGAATAGAATGACAGGATTCACGCTGCAGACACCCAGTCCCCATCCCAGGGTCCCGACAAGTCCCAAGTCCCGGGGCCGTCCAGTAGGTTAGGCCGTATGGTCTAGAGGCCGAAACGTCATAGGTCAGTAGGTGTCGGTACCGAAGCATCGTAGTAGGTCGGTAGGAGTCCATCCGGTACCTGACAAGAAAAGTCCAGAAGCGTCCGGTCCAGTCCAACAGTCCCAAGCCCAATTTCACACCATATCCCAGGAAAGGTCCAGAAGCTACCGAACCAACAAAATGTTTGCAGCAGACAGGCCGCGGCCGACCGGTACTGATCTGAAGCAGGCCAAGCCAAGCCTAGCCAAGACAAGCCAAGTCCTATATTTAGCTGCTACAGTGCAGCGGCTCATTACTTGTTCATTTTGCGAGATGCGGAAGCGCTGCTGCTGCTTGTGCGTTAAGGCGACTTGGGCACCTCGCGCCTGAGGAAGAAGAGGGTGCTCAAGTGTTACTCCATCGCTAGGACAGAGTAGAGGTAGTGAGTAGGGCAGCCATACATAGCCACCAACATTGAAGCTTACCTGAGTGGTTATATCCAGGGTCACGATTTAGGGGAGGGAGAGAGAGAGAGAGAGAGAGAGAGAGAGAGAGAGAGAGAGAGAGAGAGAGAGAGAGAGAGAGAGAGAGA